CCCATGCAATGATATCGAGTGGACGTGCACGTGTCCGTTCTGGACAAGTCTGATGTTGCCGTGTCAGCATTTGATGTATGTTTGTCGGTACGGGCATGGTTTTGAGGAGTTGCCCATTGTGACGATTTCGTATCGGTGGAGCATGGCCGAGGCCACGAAACTGTTCCGTCAACTTGAGAAAGGTGCGTCGTCAACCAATACAGTGACGAGCACCATCAAGTTAAAAAAAAACTCCGCAAGATGGAGAGCTATGTCCGAAGCAACGTTATCTTCTACTAGCAACGTTAACCATACGAAGATCGATTTAGGTTCTAGGGCTCGTGTCGCTTACGTACTTTTTCGTCGCCGAGAAAGTGGAAATGTTGTCGTTCTGTCATCTGAGTAGAGGTACACCATGACAAAGAGTGTGTTTAAACCCTTGTTGAACCATCTACAGGGTACTGGCTTCTACAAAGTGCTTGAAAAGTGGGAGGGTTTCGTGGCTGATGCCGTGAAGAATACAGACAAAGCCAGCGACCCTAGTGACACGGACGAAGGCAATGATGTGGACATTACGAATTATTACGATACCGTACAGCTAATGGAAGAAATGGAGAAGAGGCAGTATGAGGAGGAGAAGGAGGAGGAGTACATTTGCCCGCCAACGCAACCATCGACTGTACTCTGCGACGTTAACACAGTCGGCGACGTTACCAGAGCAAGCGACGTTAACAGAGACAGCTGCCAATAACGCGAAAGCGCCAACAGCATCACCCTATGTGCAGTCAAGAATGTAGCTTACGTTACCAACATGAACAGCACCCCGCCTCTTTCTCCTTTGCCTCGAGAACCAGAAATCGTACGATGGATATCTGCAATGAATAGTATGGAAAAATGAATGTGAGGTTGCAATAGTAGATGGTTTAACCCAAGTAGTGAATGGAGCTCGAGTACAGCTTAATAGAAGTATGTGCGGTGAACTTCCCAGCAATGTCAAGGCGTGGAGTGAGCTGGACGACCAGCAGCGAGCAGCCTTCCGCTTGTTACTACGCGTTTAGGTTTGTGCTCTTGGCTTCACCGGCTTGAAGTTTAGCCTAACATTTTGGCTGACAAAGATTAACAGACACAGGGGGTTAATGAATACGGGTTCATTTTAACGCATCCAAGTTTCACACACGTTTGGACCGTGACAAGTGCGAGGACGGCTAAATATGTGT